AAAAGGAAAAGCAAAGGAAAAGGTAATTAAATCAGTTGTTTTAGCAGACTACTCACAATAGCAGAGAAATTGATTTAACAATATTTGAATTCAGGTAATAGTGCTTCGATGTGACATGGAAGACTATAAATATTTATTCAAAGTTGTACTTGTTGGTAATGCTGGTGTTGGTAAAACGTGCCTTGTACGTAAATTTACGCAGGTTGTTTTTTTTTTTACTGTAATCATTGTTTTTCTTGCATCTTTATAATAATTTATGCTTAATGGGAAAATAAACTAATTAATTATTTGCAATCTATCAAGATTTGGAAATCATAAAATATTGTATTACGGACAATTGTGACTTATTTTCTCCAATTAGTCATATGATTTGTTTGTCATACATCACGTTTATTCATACTACATCAAAGATCTTTTAACATATTCCACATGCTGTTTATTCAAATTCTGATTTTTGGAACTTTTCTCGTGAGGATTTTGAAGTTTCAAAAGTTATTCCACAAATGAAATAACAAAAATAATATTTCCATGCAGTAATAGTTTTTGAAATTTAAAACAAAAAAATTTTGGCATTTATGCGTTTTACATTAATTTTTACAGTAATTGTTAGGCATACGTAATTGTTTATCATGGATGTTTTATTGTAGGGGATTTTTCCACCTGGGCAGAGCGCTACGATTGGTGTTGATTTTATGATCAAAACAGTTAAAGTTAATGAGGACAAAATAAAGGTTTCACTTATTTTTTCGTCGATATTTTATCAATTTCTCAAGTCTCTAGCATTTCATCTTGACAAGGATCGATTTTTTCTGTTGTATTAAATGCTGAGAAAATGGTCGTTGTTCAATTCTGTTATATCCTAATGTACATAATATTTCTGTAAAAAGAATTTGAAATAAATTCTCAATTTTGTTATAGCTCCAAATTTGGGATACAGCCGGGCAAGAACGTTTCCGTTCAATTACGCAAAGTTATTACCGATCTGCACATGCCATAGTATTAGTTTATGATGTTGCTTGCCAACCAAGTTTCGACTGCCTACCGGAATGGCTTGGTGAAATCGAGCAATATGCTAATCGACGGGTGTTAAAAATCCTAGTAGGTCAGTAATAAGTAAAATTAAATTGGGTTTCTCGAAATTTAGAACAGGTAACAGATGTTTTACACTTCTACCTTTGTGGGTTTTTCATTATATTTCAAATTTGTCAGTTTTATATGAAATAGCTGGGTATCACGGAAAAGCGTATGATTATTACACCGATAGTACATTTTAGGAAATAAAATAGACAAGGAAGATGAACGTGAGGTACCAGAACGGATTGGAAAGAATTTTGCAGATTCTAATGCTTTTGATTATTTCCTCGAGACTTCAGCACTCGATGCAACTAACGTTGACACATTATTTCACGAAGTAGCTACTAGGTTAACGAATGACATGAAGAAAAATGATGGAAGGTAAAAATTTGAATATTTGGAGATTTTTCAGTAAATGATCACTACACGACGTGCATAGTGTTAGAAGTTCAATTTGCATATATGTCTTCTCACTCATCAGGTCCACCAGAATTACTTTATTGTTTAGTATAATACGCCATCAAAATGATGATAAAGCAACTTTGTTGCAATATCATCCCAAAGAAGGTGCGCTATATCGTTCCGTTTAATTTGCAATCTATTATGATGTCAGTACTTGAGGAAGTTGTTCACAAAAATTTTTTTTTCACACATATGATTTAGTTTGTTGGATCGAGTCCCATAGAAATAGCTTTAGAACGTGATATTGCTTGCTTCCTCCATTTGGCTTCTATTTCAGATTTTTGAATTTTAAAATTCATATTTCAGGCATTTGGATTTGAAAAATGGCAAGGATCCGGGATCGGTAAGCTTACTGAGCCGAGTTACCATGCAAGCGAACTCTTGCTGTTCAAGAAATTAATAATTACGATGAGTGGATTATTTCCAACTAGTCATATATTCGTAGTCTTTGGATATTTGTCAAATAGCTTACTTATTGGTGCTGTGTTGTTTTAAGCAGTGATTTTTGAAGTATGGATTTCTAAGAATTTTGTACATCCGAAGAAACAGTGAAAGAATAGAAAATGGAAAAAATTTGCTAAAAAAGATCACGTCGCTTTCAACGATACTGATATGAACGTCAGATTATCTTGAAAATGAAATTACGGTTGTCATTTCTATTAGAAGTAACAATTGCAAAAATAACATTGGAAGGAGCAGTTTAAATATTATTTCTTCAAAGAAAATTTTTTTGTGGTTATGAATCTTTTTTACGAGGTAGTTCTATGAAATCGATTTCAAATATTATAGTATACATTTAGGAACCGATTTCACTTCAGTCAGCTTATAACATTTACAGATTGGAGTTATTTTATAATAAGCGAATCATCACAATGCAATGAAAGGAAAATTGTAAGAAATTTTCATACATTATTGAGTGGTTTTTGTCGCAGAAGATTTTTATTTGGATTCGGAACACTTCTGTGAAATTTAAAAATTCTGACTGAAAAATTTAACAGATAGGGTAGTAGAATATAATAGATAGCGGAACTTTTAGATTTCTTTGCGTATACAATTCTATGTATATAAATGGCAGACTTAGACTCGTCTACGTATATAAATCGTTAAATATTCATTTACGCTGGAAATTAAAAATTATTATTTAGCTAAACTTTCTGCTTTTCCTATCTCTCTCTGTCCATGTTTCTTTGGTCTTGTAATCCATAAATATTTCTGAATTTCTAGTCTTGTGTTTTAAGATAATCTTTTTTCTGGGATATATATATATAGATAAATCTTTTAGTTTTTATTGTTGCATATTACATTTTCTTGGATTATTGCATGTGAAATTCGAGAAATACATTCAATGAATTGAGATTATTTCGAGAAGAGGCTTTTTATAATTTAAATGAATTCGATTTTTTTTCACCCCAAAATTACTTGTATAGTCAAAAGTTCTCGAAATTTTTGTTGCTTCAAATTATTTGAAATGTTAATTGTCGAATAGAAATGTTAGTAATGTAACAATGATATAATTAACTTTTCATTGCTTTAGCCTGTATGATTATGATATTGCTGTAATATCACTTTTCTTCTCTCGTGCATTAAGTATATTGGACAATTATTTCCTTCATTCTTGGCATGTTTTCATTTTCTCAAAAGTAATTATTTCATCTTTCATTTCTTTTCCGAACCAATGTTCATTTATCTATCATTTAAATGATGAATTCACATTACCATTCATTTTGATTTTGGTGCAGTATTTTCTATTGTAAAGGCAAGTTTTTCCCTTTCTTCTTTTCTCATAATAACGATTGCGAATAGAGCAGTAAGAAAAAAATTAGAACGATGAACTCGAACAATTGATAAAGATGATAACAATTTAATGAATTTTTACAATTTTATTCAACTATTGAGATTATATACAGTGTGAAAATTGTAGTTTATTGATTGATTGATTGGTTGGGACATTCTCTTTGGTACCGGTTGTTTGTGTATTTCTTCATCTGAATGGTGCAAGCACTGTACTGTTATATTTTCTAAATGCTAGTAATATATTATATTTTTATAATTACTCTTTCATGTAATTTATGTTTTAATTTCTTGCAAAAAAATAAGTTTCACAAATAAAACAGCTTTATGCTTTTAATATTTGGTTCATCGATACGATGATTTAAGTGAAGAAATGAAATTGAATTCTAAAAGAAGTTTCAAATTCTGAAACATTCAAATGGAGTTTTTAAAAACTCCAGAAAAAGCCGATAACCTGCAAAGTAATTCCCAGAATCGCATCTGAAATAAATTTCAATATCATAGCTGTGTGTAATGAAATTTAATCAGTATTATTCATTCATAACTTATCTTTCTCTAAAAGAAGCCTCAAATTCTGAAACACTCGAATGTAGTTTTCGAATACTTTAGAAAAAGTCGGTGACCTGCAAAATCGTTCCCAGAATCTCATCTGAAATAAATTTCAATATCATAGCTGTATGTTCATCGCTTCGGGACTCTCATACCGTAATATTTAAAAATTTTTAGGGACAAAAAGGAAAGGAAGAGATCATATATAGTGATGGTGATATAATAAACGTATTGAATGTTCCAAATGACTTATCGGTGATTCATGTCAAGTTTGTTTATCAAAATCTAGCAAACTTTGATTTGAAAAGAACTACTTGACCTATAAAAATGCATTTATAATAAATACACACTAAAGATTTCCTAAGTTTCTTTTTATCTCTGTATGAATGTGTCTTTCTGTTCTGCTGAGAGAGAGAGAATTCTGCCGAGAGTACATAAAAAGTAAACTTCAGATAATTGAGCACTGTCCAAATGACAATAAGAAAATCAAGATGGCTTTTTTTAATCTGAAAATAATCAGTCAGAAGGTTTCATGGTTGGTTCGATAACACTTGTCATTATCTGCAGTTTAGTAGTACCTTTTATAATTGCTGTTTCAATGTTGTTTTAATATCGAGATATTCTAAAAGGTATTGGTTTGTTGCGGATATTATTATGAATGAGAAATATTTACACAGCTTGCAAATAAAATCAGAAAGTTGCAAAATAAAATGAAAACAACTATATGGCTGTGTCAATAAATGCTAAATGATGCGACATTAATAATGTTGAATATTTTACACAAATCGTCAAATGCTTTTCTAGCTTACAATGAAGCTTATAATTAGCTTACAAAACTATAAAGCTGAAAAATACGAAAGAGAAATGAATATCGGAATAAGATATTAATAATTAATATGTTGATTGAGAAGAAGAGAAATAAGATTTTTTGCTATTCAAAAGTGAAATGCAGATAGCGAAGAATGCTTTTATTTTTAAATGATTCTGTTAATTCATTCTTGCCCTTTGTCCTGTTGTAACAGTATCTATCCTCTAAATATAATATTGAATTGTCATACAAATATGGCTCATTCATTTAGCAGACAAAACTATTATACTAAACTTTCATTCATGGAAAGAGCGAATCATTTGCATGTATCCGGTGCATTTGCCATATGATCGCAAACTTTGATATTATTATTAAAGAAGGTGTTCTGCGGACATTGCTTCACATATGGACGGTTACCCACGCAATGAAGGAATAAATGACAATCGCTTGGGTGCGAAAACAAACCGTCAGGTTCCACACATTTCACATCTGAAATATCATTCCATATTAGAATGCTTCATCATTGCATAATTAACAATTTCATATTTTATCATATATGTATTATAAGCAAAATTTGAATGTTCAACACAAATCAGAAATGATATTTTAACATGCGGATAACGAACCAGAAGATTCCGATACTGTTTTAGAACTACTTGTAGTCGTTTTAATTTTAGTCGTCTTCGGAATCTTAGTTGTTGTAATTTCAGTTTCACCACTACCTGTGACACCTTGTGTAGTAGTTTTCAATGGCTAAAAATGATTA